GTAAACACTCCCTTTTCTGTGTGACACATAGCAGATGCCACCAAAGTATTCCTAGGTTAGATGAAGGACTTACAATTTAAAAACAAAACCAGGCCACCCAAATCCCTCCTCGGCCACTTACCAGCTCTATGACCTTTGGTAGTTACATCTCTGTGCCTCAATTCCCTTGCCTGCAAAGGAGGACTTAGAAAAAGGCCCATCTCATGGGGCTGCTGTGTTTTTAAAAGATTGTCTGCAAAGTGCCTAGCTGCGGTATCTGGCCCACAGTGCTCCAAAGGTGTTAGCTATTACATGTAGGTCTGCACCCGGAACGGATTTCTCTCCCAGCACACATTTGTTTTTCTTTCTCACCCAGATAGGCAGTGCCCAACTTGAAGGCGGTGGAGACCTGGCACAGGGAAGATGTGCCGTGGGTGCTCGTGGAATGAATAATGAAAAATGGGCAAAGTGGATCTGGTGGGAGCTGACAGGACTCCACAGCCAGGTCTCCTTGACTTGGAGGCCCTGGTATCTGCCTGACTGACCGTGGCTGCTGGACTGGATCTCTACAAAATGACAGGGGTACAGCAGGACACATTCCTGATCCCAGCTCAGCTCTTGCGCCCCATTCTTGGCTCTAGTCCCCTCACCATAATGCATTGGCGGAGGGAGGCCAGGCTCCCAACGTTGGGAAACATCCTCCCTCCCTGGCAGATGGGGAAGAGTTTGTGAAAAGTACCACCCAGTTTCTGGACAAGCCAACAGCTTCAAAGCTGTGACTTCAACACACCACAGGCCTGTTCCCAGCCCTAGACTGGATAACTACCATGAGGACACTCAATCAGCAAGCTCGGCCTCCCAGATGAAGTGTGACCATACCTAATCAGAGGGCCATCCCCACTCAGCAGCCTCCAGCTGCTGCTCCCCTGGGACCGGCAAGCAGCCACCGTTTAGCACAGCCTGGTGATGCTGGGAGGTGATGGGAAGCACAGGCTGCAATTTGACAACTCAGATCTAATGACAACAGCTGTTCTGTTGTCACCAGAATCTTCCTCTCCAAAGTGTTGCCAGACGAGCATCGGGGAGCAGCTCCATGGCTGGGCCACTGTGCTCCGCCTGCTCCTTTTTTCAATGACAGGAGCCACCTGGGTCAGCTCTGCATGCGCCCTGACCACAGGCCTCCTGACAAGGACCTGGAGTTCATGGGAATAAATGGATTTGATTTGGCAAAGCTGGGTGACTGCTTACTCTTTGTACTGCTTAATTTTGTTGCACAGAAGACAAGCATATTGAAACTCCTTGCTCATTCTATTTAAACAGTATTTCAGATGGCCTTCTGGGGCTCGAGGCAAAGCTGTGTTCCTTTGAAGGATTGGGGAGCTCCAGGTGTTAAAGCAATTTTATAGATGAATGCATTTGTGACAGCTTAGCTGTCTTACAAAGGTTGGATGATAACACTGGGGACATCTTAGACCCCAGGTCTAAACTGAAGAAAGAACCTTGGTGTGTCATTCTCAGTGAGCACACATGAGGCCAGGTCTCATTGTGGAGGCCACATCTCATCATGGAGGCCACATACATGAGCTTTGGGCGCTGAGTTCTGCATTCTGCTCAGCCGTGACCTGCTGAGTGCACAGAGCCGCTCTGAGGACTTGCTGCTGCGGGGGATGGCTTCTACCCTGACCCTCTTCCTGAGGCCCATGGATCCTTCCCTGGGCTCTCACGGGCCTCGCACACCCTGCCACATCCATGAACCTCCTTGGAGCTGCAGTTGACAACAGCCACCACCCTCAGCCACCAGCCCATTAGTGCTGTGTTGAGAAGGGGGCCACATCTTTGCCACAATGATGGGCCACACCTGGCACACTACCAGAAAAATAGAGTGGGTTCAACAAACGTGTCCTGACCAATCAATAGATTAAGATGCGATCGAATGAGTGAACAGAGGAAGAAATGAAGGCAGAGAGGTGAACAGATGCTGAAGCAAGATGCATGAGCCAGGGAAATAGTGTTAAGAGGACCCGGGAGGAGAGAGGAAAGCTGGGTACCATGTTCCTCTAAGTGGTTCTAGTATGAAGAACATTGATAGGCATGTGGTAGATGCTTAACATATGACAACAAGCACTCCCTGGGTACCCTGTGTCCCTCGACCCTGTGCTAACCCCTTTGCATGAATTATCTCACTTACTCCTGACACTAAACCCTACAAGGTGAAGATACTACTTTTGGCAGAGTGGATTAAGGACCCAGTGATGGATGCTGAACCTCCCATCAAGGCAAGAAGGACATGATCCAATTCCTATCAATATCGTCATTCTACAGCCTTACTTGAAAGGTACAGAGTTTCGCCATGAAGCACCTGGATTCTAGAGCCAGACTACCCAAGTTCATGTCTCACTTCTGTCACTTTGTGAATGAGGTAAAGCTGGGTAATTGACTTCACTTTCTCCCACCCTCTGCTCCTGGCTCTACAGGAGCAGTGCTAGTGCACGTGGGCCATTGCAAAGACTAGTTAAGTCAGGACAGGTGAGGCCAGCACAGCACAGAGTACAGCAAGCACTGCATTAAATGGTGGTCTTGGGAATGCTCTTGTATGTGGCCCAACCCCTAAATGGCTTTCTTGTGTCACCATCAGGAGAGGGGCTGGTACTCTCGTCATACCTTTGCAGGTATGGTTTCCTTCATCTTTCTAAGTGAGAATCAGACAACTGCAGGACCTGGGGACCAGGTGGGCCTTACTGACCCCAGGGGGAGGGTCACCATTTTACTGATGATGATGAAAGGGGCTGAGGGAGAGAGGGAGTTCAGAAGATATTGACCTGAGTTATATGTAGCTAAAAGATATAATAAAGAATTTATTTAAGATCTCGCTGGAGGGTTAGCAGCAAGCCTAGGATAGACAACAAAGTCCCAGATTCCTCTGTGGGGTCAGCTAAGGACATACAGTGTGAAACTTCTTTATCTGCCCAAGAAGAGGCACCTTCGGATGGTTGAAACTCAACCTCTCAGGGTCCCTGAGAAGACGAAATGCCCAGCAGTGCAGATCAAACTTCCGATAGAACAACACCACAGACCCTCAACTGCCAGGCCTTGCTACCCGCCTCTACTGTGCCCGCATCCCCATGGTGGGGCAGGTCTGAATGCAGAGCCTGCAGATTTGAGAGAACATAGCAGCAGCTATCTTGGCTGAGATAAATCACATGCCAACCCCTCTCACTCCACCCCACCCCAGGCAGACTCTGCTTTGCCTCTGAGAACAGCCTTGTTTGTGTCCCTTGAAACAAGGTGGGGCTGAGGCTGGCCTGGCTCTTGTTGTGTTGGAATTTGGCTCTTGGGCATCTAGATTGAAGAATAAAGGTATCTTCTCCCACTGCCCAGGAGGAGGACCTTGCCATTCTCAGATTTAATCCTTTCAGAGGCTCCTGGCACAGCAGCATGGCCAGTCAGTTGCTCCAAGACCTGACTCCCAACTAGCTCTCTCCCCGACCTGTTCTGGCCTCTCACTTCATGTCCAGCATCATCGAACTGCTTGGAAATTCCAGCCTCTGCTCCCTACTCTTTTGTTTTCCTTCTGATGGACATGGCCTTCCTGCCCTTTTCTCTGGTTTGCTTAATTCATTCTCCCACACCCAGTTCAGGCATCACCTCCTCCAGAAAGCTGTCTACGATCCTTCTGAGATGTCTCTGTTTTGTATTTCTATAATTCCATCTGGAAACTTCTATCATTGTATATATTGTCCCCTGTTTATAGGTCTGACCCTCACAGGAGTGAGTTTCTCTTTTTTTAAATTATTTATTTATTTATTTTTAGAGAGAGGGAATGGGAAGGAGAAAGAGTGGGAGAGAAACATCAATGTGTGGTTGCCTCTCATGTGTCCTTTACTGGAGACCTGGCCTGCAACCCAGGCATGTGCTCTGACTGGGAATCGAACCAGTGACCCTTTGCTTCACAGGCCCATGCTCAATCCACTGAGCTACAACAGCCAGGGCAAGAGTGAGTATCTTGATGGCCAGCACCATGACTTTGAGTCTTCAGCACCCCCTAGCCCCTGTCCCACGGCAGTGAGCAGAGGACTTCAAAACATTTGTCCAAATCACTCTTAATGTAAACAAGAGAAAGTCTGGCCAAAGCAGTTCAGAATTTCAGCATACATGAACATAATCCTGAACACAAAACTGAATTTGCTAACCTGCAGGGCACTTAAGGATGGAGAAAGAAGAGTACAAACTTTAGGATGGAGGAGGGGTGGTCCCCGGAGAAGTGAACACCACCCAGTACAATAAAGGAACTCAGCACTCAGAGGCAAAGCAGTGTGCACTGTGGCTGTCTCCTTATGGGTAATTTTGGGGCACAGTGCTGGCTTTAGGGAGGAAACCACACCCCTTACCCCCAACATGTGCAATTACACTAAAAACTGGTATGATATATGTTACCCTGTTAGACCAGATTCAGGGGCTCTCAGTATCATGTAGGTAGAGAACATTTGCCTAACACTTCATTCTTTTAAGTGAAGACTGACTCTAGATCTCTGCCAGAAAATCTGTTAGATAGCACACAGAGGACCCCCAAGAAGCCTTAGAAATCCACATCTGTGCTACAGCACTGGTCGGACTTCCTTTAGGGACTGTCTCGGGAGGGTACCGTGAGCTTCCTCGGGGGGTGACCAGTTGCTGGGGAGAGAGGCAGGGGTCGTGAACTCCACAAGAGCACATTACAAACTTGAGACAACCAAGAGGGACACAGCACCAAGGCATTTTAGGACAAACATTACCAGCCTTTGAATAACTAATTCCAAGAGTGATACAAATGTACAAAGGAGGTTCAACCCCGACAAAGTCTAAGTTTGATGCTTGTTAATTAACTTCCTTCCTATGTTGACCACACACACTCACATAAACACACACGTCATGTTATAAGACATACATATTGGGCTATATTAACTCCTTGGTTGAAGAAACCTATGAACCTCTAAAGGACTCTTCAAACTCACCAGGAGATACGATCATCACATTGCTCTTACCCTGAGGTAGTTGAGAGTAAAATTCGTTAGCCCCATCCTGGTGATGTTTTTGGACAGCTGATCCAGGACCTGAGGATCTTGTGCCTAAACAGGAAAAAAATCACATATATTTATCCCTGCAAGAGGATCACAAGAAGATTATGCTACAGTGACTGGGAAGTGCAATCTTGACCCTGTTGATTTCTCTGGGAGGGCCAGGGTGTTGGAAACTATTTAATTTGCATTTCAAGACACTTGCTTATAATGCTTAAGGACACTTGTGGGACACCAGTGCGAGACCTATGGCCCAGATCAAACGGAGTTGGATGTGTTTTTAGATCTCAGGAGAAACAACTTCACTTGCTCTGTGAGAGGCCTGTGGCTTCAGAGGAGGGTGGCCCAGACAGGGCCACCTGTCGGGACACCTCTAGGCCTCTGGGACCTACCAGACAGGGCGTGGCCTCCTCACCTGGGAGCTCCCTGCCTCAGAGTGAGCCTTTGTTTTCTATGGTGATGGTGTTGCTTTAACAGCATTGCAGTTGAGACCATATTTAAAAACTTTGCAATGGCTCTGGTGCACATATATGTAACATTTATGCATAAAATAAATATACATATTTATATTTAAGAATTCGAAATTTTCTCCCCATTAAACTGAGGCTAGAAATAGATGTCCTCGACAATTTTCATTCCCCAGGACCATACGGGTAATCACTACATTTTCCAAAATATCAGCCACATTCAAAAGAGGGATGTAACTAACATTCTACAGGCTACCTCAAATGGTCTGTTTGGCTAGAAAAATGAGAACTCTTTCTGGATATTATTTTAAGATGAATCTCTTGGTTGACACTCTTTCCTTCTGTCTTCTTTCTTTCTTAATGGGTATGAGAGAATGCTGCTAAACAGAGGGAGACTTAAATAAATATCCCTCTACTCTGGGTCTGCATTCATGAGACTGTCTAGGTTCTACTAATGCTTTTCTGAATTTACGCTTTTCTGAAGAATTTTATCACAGTGACACAACCAATTGGCTTTGCGTATGTATACATATAGGAAAAAATGCAGGAGACAACAGAATGTATCACTTTTCACATCACTTTGTGGAAAGGGGGTCTTCTGTGGACATGTGACCAGTATTTATTGAACCTCCCTTGTGCCAGGAAGACCTGGTTCTATGCAGAGATGCATCAGGTAGTCGTGCTCAGCCTCAAGGAGCTTACATTATAGTCGGATGATAAGAGAATAAGAAATACATGGGAGGATGTGGTTGCTGCTGCTACAAACCAGTCACCATACTTGCAGAGGACCTCCTATGTGCCAGGTGCTGTTCTATGTTCTTCAGATGCATTAACTCTTAGTCCTCAAACCAATCCTCTAAGGCAGGCTCTATCACTACACTGATTTTATAGATGAAGGACTGAAAGCACAGAGACGTCAATGTCTCTTGACCAAGCTCGCACAGGCGCAAGGACACAAACTTACATGATCTTTTTTCAGGACCCAGGTTTACGCCCACTGCCCTCAGTCTATCTTGAGAATAATAAGACTGGCTACTCCAGAAGGCTTCAAGAAGAGTGACGGACATGAACTGGGCTTTGAAAATTGAGGAAGACTTGGGTTATGCAGAGGCAGAGCAATGTCATGGGAGAGGGAGGGTGTGGGAGTGGCCACAAAAGGAAGTGCAAGGGCAGAGATTGGGTTAATCAGCCGGGAGGGGAGGGCTGAGAACAAAAGCCTGGAGAGGTGGCCTGGAGTTGGATAGTTAGGGGCCACTTGGTCCGACAGTCTAGGTTTTGGAGTCAGAACCAGCTGAGTTGACATCTTTCAGATTGAAAAATACTGGACCACTGGTTAAACTACTCTGAGCCTCACTCCCCCCCCCCTTCTAAAACAGGAATAAGGAATGACAACTCACTCCTCTAAGTTACTGTGGGGATTAATTATAATATACATAAAATGTTTAGGACAAGGCCTGGCACAGGAAACACGCATCAAATGCCAACTACTGTTATCTTATTCTCTTGATCATACTGGGCCTTAAACGTCAGGCTCATTAATTCTGGCTTTTCTCCCAAGTTTTTCCCCAGAAAGTGCCATATCTCGTATGAAAGGGAAGGGGCTTATTTGAGTCAGTGCCTTTTGACTTCTTCAGAGATTGCCCTGATAGCTCTCATCAAGTCTTCCTTTTGCAACGTATCTTCAGATCGGCAGCAAATGCACTCTTGCACTTAGTTGTTGTTCAATAAATCTGAAGTGATTTACATCCAACAGAAGCCAAGAGAACCCCAAATATTCTAGCTCATTCCAACAGTGGTTAGAACAGGTCAACACTGTTCGACACAGATCTGAGGTCTGTGGGCCCCATGTCCCCTCAGATGGTTCCAATCAAAACTGGAACTTATTTTTCCTATTTTGTGTCTTATTTCTTTTCCCAGTTGTATATAACCAGTTTATTAGCCCAGGCAGAGCAGTACTGGATAATGACTGAATGGAATTAAAGAAAAGCACAGTTTATTGTGGTAACCTCAATTCAGAGTTTAAAATAATAAAGTATCAAAACAAACAGAAAAGGCTCTGAACTCACCACACTGGAAACAAAGGAGGAGAAAAGGGGCTGGTGGATTAAAATGGTTAAGGGAAAAACTCAACATTTGGCATTAATTAGGTAAAGTGTGAAGACTACTGGAGTTCTCTCGCAGAGAAACTGTACTTTTCCTCCTTGAATAAAATGAGGGGTAACAGGAAAGAAAGTGAAAGAGAAAGAAAATTACTTACATGCATGGCTAGAATGCTTCTTGGGACTAGCTCTCTGTATTGTCTAATGGTAAAGTGCCATGTTTTTATTCTCATGAGATCATCGAAGGTGAACTCCAAGATCAGTCTGCCTTCTGTACACACCTAGAAGCAACAAACGACACACTCATTTGTTGTGCACATTGTGAATGCCCAAATTCTTTAAATCACATGTCACCTACCCAACGTGGCCTCTCTGACTGTCCTTGGGTGGCTCTGAGCCTTGACAAAATGGGACACAAGTGGCTGACCCATGGCATACGGAGACAGGTACAAGCCTAAGAATCAGTGGGTTCAAAAGACAGTGCAGCTGCTTAGGATCTAGTTGTAACCGTGTTAGTTATGACCGGAACTGGGAGTCTCCATTTCTTCACTTGTAAATATGCTCACAAACCCCATCTTTCAGCAAGATTATGTCCAAAATGCATGGCACAGACTTTGGACTCCACAAAACGGCATCCTCCTACCAACTTCTTTTTTTCAGTTTCATGAATCTTAGATGATAGGAGCTTGCACTCTTGTTCTAATTTCAGTTGCTCCTACTTTGGGAGAGCATATCTAATTATTCGTGTTGAAGTGTGACATACTGTAAGATGATCCAACCAGAGGTTCTCATTTCCGAGGAAAAATTCCAGAGGACAATGCTTAACCCAAGGCAGTGGGTATCAGTTACTGACAAGTGGAAATTCGAACCTATTTAAAAGTACATTCCTTAAATCACATCATATCAGCAATGACAAATTCTGATTGCATAAAGGGCCAGCCTTTAGGGGTGGTGGCAAATTTATCTTTCTAAGAAAAATATGTATTATTAATAAAAAGGAATTTCTGAGGCTCCCTTCCTTGGTAGGCAGATTAGTGATGGGGAGCTTTTTATTTTTTGGTAGGGGAGTTATTTAGTCTTTTGATATTCAGATCATGTTTAGCATGGAGTTCCTATTTTATTTATCTTTCTTTTCACTGTTAATGACTTTAAATGTGAGAAAATACTAGGCAATCTCACACCACTGAGTCTATTTCAACTCTAAGACCGGTAGTGGTGGTCACACACTGGTCCAGTTTAAATCATCACAACTCATTACTCAGTCCATGGTGGCCTTAGAGACGCAGTCAGTCCAAAAATAGTGGATGGAGGCTTTGGTGTCAGAAATTACTGGATTCGAACCCTGACTCTGCTTTTCACTCATTTCTAAACTTTGGGACCATCGACTTTCCTAAGTTTCAGTGTCCACATTTGTAAAATGAGAATAAAAATATCCTCAGGCAGGGCTGTTGGAGAAGTACATAAAAGGAAATTTTATATGTAGATTTTCTAGCACTGCACCCACTGTGTAACAGGTTGTCAACAAATAAGAGCTCTAGAGCTCAAAGAAATGCAATTGGACAACACAGAACCCCAGGTGGACAGAGCTATCGGAGACCTGGGGGTTCAGGAGAGGCACCTCGGGGGCTCTGCTGGGGGGTGGGGCTTGGCCTCCACCTGGACTCTGAGACCCCTTCCCATCTTCAGTGCAACCAGGTCAGCTTCAGTTTTATTTGTTTTACTACATTGGGCTTCTAACCAAAAAGTTTCCAAGAAATATTTCCTATGGCAAAGAAAAAAACAAAACAAAACTTTGGAAATCATTGCATTATACAACTTAAAAGAAAAAAAACACAATGATTAACTCAATAGGGATATGATCATTTCTGAAACTATAGTCTATGAAGATAATTGGCAGTTTATAGCTGCCTTTTATGAAATATTAATACTTACTTTCTCTCTGGGAATTTAATACAAAAAGCCGCCATATTGAGTTTCGTTTATGTCCTAGGCACTGGGTGAGGTGCTCTTGGTAGAGTCTAATTTAAGGTAGCATTTTCTTTAAGCTACAAACACCAGTGCAGGGGAATTAGTAATGGGTGGGGACAGGGCACTGCTCAAGAAAGATGCTGTCAACTCCTGCCATTTCCACTTTATCAAAGGTCTCAGAAGCCCTGGAAGATAATTATTAATAATCTGGGTGAAGACCTCTAACTCAATTCCAATGAGCAGAATCTGTAGGTAATTTCAGGCGTGTGGGCACCTTGCCCCCAAACTCCCCAGCTGAGTGGTCTTCAGAGCCCTGTTTCTGACCTTAGCCGTGATGTTGAGCACACGGACATGGGGAAGATTCTAGTGTCCCCAAACTACACCTCTGGAGCATCTCAGCGTTGGAATTAATTTACTAAGGGTTCCCAAAGAGTTCCATGGAGATTAAGCCACACAATTTCCCCCAGGCTGTTAGCATGACAGAAGCCACCTGCAGTGAAGACTTCCACAGAAGGGAGGTGACCACAGCCAGCAAATGACAGGGAAGTGCCTGGACAACAAGGATAGGAATATTTGGATGTTATATTCCTGTGCTGGTTTCTTTTAAGAGAGAGGATTATTGAACGTTTAAATGAGTATTACCCAGTTAAATGTCATGTTTTGAAATGATCTAACCTATTTGCTTTCTGTTTGTGAACCACCAACCCAGGGCAGATGGAGGCCCTGGTTTACTCCTACTGGACTAGAATGTCCTAACGGGAAGGCCTGGATCTGGTCCTTCTGATGAATTACTGGGTTGGAGCATCTGAAAAGTTGAGTCTTTTGTTTTCTATGCAACAGCCACTGGTTGAGGACACTTCCGGCAGTCAAACTGTCATGGGGGCTACAAAAGAGAAATTTGTAACTACCCTTGGGCTCCTCCTTTCTTAGCTAAAACCAAGGAGTTGCCTTTACTCAGGGCAGATTGTGTGCAAGAGCACGGTCCTTAGAATCGAATCTGAGTCGGCTATGTTGGATGTTATTCTGAACGAAAGGATGGAGAATTGGTCGCTGCTGGTCTTCCCTGAGTAATTATACCTGCAGCCTCCTCCCAAGCCTCATGAAGCCTTTTCTCCACCCCCTGCCTCCATTTTGGAAGTTAAAGGGAATAGAAGTCTGTGTGATTTATTTTACATGCAATAATCAACAAATGGAATATTCTCTCTCCATTCTCTCTCTCTCTCCATATATATATGGAGAGAGAAATATATATACATATATATTTCTTGTTTGGAAATGATAGAAAATGGGCATTCCTTATACAGGGGAATGAATTTTCACTCTTCAAAAAAAATTCTCTGCATTCCTCTTAATCAATACAATTAATGTGGCTTTTATCTAAAGTTACCCCCCTTTTTTGAAAAAGCTGCCTTTCACTTGGAATCTAAAATCAAAAGGGTCCCCAATTAAGAAAACATTTTCTGTTGTGCTGAATTCATGTTACCTTACTATGTGCTCTGACATTTTGTTTCTGTGGTAACCAAAATCAGCTGATTAGTTGGCATGGCAACAGAAAAGATGTAATCCCAGCAGACACACTCTAATCAATGCCCCCAGCACAGATGGTCTCGGGAGGATCAACAAGAAAGAGGCTGGCAGGCATTCCGCCCGTCACGTGCTAGCTGGAGACTAGGCCAGGGACAAGAGAACTAAAAAAGAACATTTCTCAAACTATCTGGTAGCTTTTTAACCCCTTTCTTTCTGTGACTGATTATGAAGCAATATGGACAGTGTAGTTCCATGTACAATACTAATCCCATAGAGCTTTCATGAAATAGAACGTGCTTTTTAGGTGTGTTTATTTAGTTGCCTTGGTCTTTGTGCCTGTAATAGTATGCGTAGAATAGTGTTGTTGTTGTTGTTGTTATTATATAATAATAATTATTATTTATTATTATTATTAGTTACTACAGTGCTAGCTTATTATAAAAGGATACAACTCAGGAACAGCCAGATGGAGGAGATGTACAGGGAAGAGAATTGGGAAGGGTGAGGAGCTTCTGCGCCTCTTTGAGAGCTCCACTCTCCCCAGACCTCGGTGGATTCATCAGTGGGGAAGCACTAAGTAGTGCTTTTAGATTTAAGAGTTGCATAAAACTCATTGTATGTTACTTAGAGATGCTGTATGAGTAAATGCACATAGACTCATATATTAGAGTAGTAAGGTCACTGATGTTATAATAACTTGGTTAGTCAAGATAAGAGTACAGATGTCTACAGCTTGGAGGATAACATGGTAGAGTGTGGCTAAGGCTAGAATGATGGGTGGACCGTCAAAGACAAGAATGAGTACTCAGACAGGACACCGGCGGGTGCGCTTGCACAATGCCTGGCTGTAGTGGTAGATCATTGCTTAGTAAATCACTGAGACTAGAAGAAAATACACCTGCGGTTACCGAAGTGATGAGAGCATCTGTTCATGGCCATGATTACTGTTCTAGTTTGTAAAACCTAAACGTCACCCAACATGCACCCAAGAGGGGGCCCATCTCAGCATCTGCCAGGGTTCATACCCTCAAATATAATTCGAGGATCTTTGACTCTGAAACCTGTGATTGCGCCTCTGGTTCTTCAGCCTTCTCGTCAACCTGATTTGAAATTGAATACAGAAAAGAAAGGCTTCCTAATGTATGTTTTTAAACTCTAATTACATATTTATCCATAATCTATAATGTTCCCAGGATCAGGAAATTGCAAAATGTGGACTATACTCCTGAGGAATATTAAGTATTACTGCTGATTAGGACTGAGGCTGATTTTTGATTCACCAGTTGACCAAATTTTCATAAAGGCAACTCAGAACCACAGGCTCGAATGCTCTTTGGGGAATTAGAGTTTATTGATAGTCTAAATTAGAACACATGATACTGGGCCCCACATAGCATGGTGAGTAATGCCACGTACTAATAGCCGGTTCCCCTTAAAAATAAAGCATCGACTTCCAAACTATTTTTTTTGTGACACTGAAAGTTCATTAAACCCACTGTTTTATACTCAATGGCCTGATTATTTTCTTACTCGAAGATGAGCTATTTTTAATTAATATAAGAACAAAAGAAAAATCGGAAAGATTCTTTGGGTTGTATAATAGTCACTAAGGGGGAAAAAAAGAACCCTTTCACGTTTTCTAAAAATAAATGAGCATAATTAGCCTCTGGACGAAGTCCACATAGCTAAGCTAGATTTCCCGGAGAAAAATATTTCTCATCACAGTGTGGAAGTGGTCGTTACAAGACTTGGAGAACTGCTCTGCCCTGGAGGAGTCACGTGGGTGATCTAAGGGCCTGGAGCTGGAGACCCAGAGAGCTGGGTGCAGGAGAACCCACAGGTCTTCCAGTGCGCGCCTCGGGTGCCTGGGCCGCTGCTCCGCCACTTGAGAGGGGATGCGCCCAAAGGAGGACAAATGCACCAGCGAAAGGCCTAGTTTCTTCATTGGAATTTTTTTAAAAAAAGTACTTTATCCATCCACCAGGAGAATGATATTCTTTATGATTTAAAGCCAGCCTGGAACAGACAACACTGTATCTTCAAAGCAAGTGACTATTGTCATTAATACAAAAATCTTGGCCTGAGGAAGAAAGAAATTGAGGAAATAGATAAAGAAGGCTACCACAGGATACATTTTTCTATCAATGGCCACAGGTTTTATAAGTAGCTCCTTCATTAGAGCAAAAGTTTTATGTAATTATCATAGATTTTCCCCCCCTTAAAGGTTAAGGAATTTTTATTTGTTCCTTGAATTACCTAAAAGTAACACTAGGCCTTGACAAAAGAATATAATGATAAAAATAATGAAGTGGCAGAGAAGGGCTTTTTCTGCAATGCTCACACTAAGACTAGATATCTATCTTTGCACCCATCTGATCCACAGCACTCTGTACGTGTTCTATGTCTCCAAAATGAAATGAGACACAGGCCAGTTCAATCAGCATCTCAGTGATCGTGCCTTTGCACGCAGCAGAGCTCTCCTTCCGGCTGCAGCTTCTGCACACGGTGGAAACTTCCTTGTCTCTCAGTGGCAGCCTCCTCTCTGCTCAGCTGTCAAAGATGAAGAAAGAGAAAATCCAACCCCCAGCCTACATGGAAAATGTCTATTGACAAAGTCAAGATGCCATACAGTCGGTGGCATTTGATGATGTACTTTTGCGTTTTCTAATCTTTGCCTTTGCTTTTTTTTTTAAAGATTTTATTTATTTATATATCTTTAGAGGGGAAGGAGAGAGGGAGAGAAACATCAATGTATGGTTGCCTTTTGTGCATCCCCTGCTGGGAACTGGCCTGCAGGGAACTGGTCTGCAACCTCAGAAATATGCCCTGACTGGGAATCGAACCACGATCCTCTGGTTCGCAGGCCTGTGCTCAATCCATTGAGCTACACCAGCCAGGGCTTTGACTTTGCTTTTTTTTTTACACCATCGTGGCCAGCAGAGAGATCAAACTACACCAACAAGATTAAAGAGTACTTTCAGTAGTAAATGCTTCATTTTTATTATTTTGGTGTATTGTACCATAAGTTAAAAAACATATCTTCAGTTTTATAATTTGGGCTTTTGCTGCTAACCCTGATAATTCAACTTCTCTCAACTATAAAGAGAGGATTGTCATTTGTGTTTTCAACTACAAGAGATAGCTGCTATTGTTAATAGGAGGTCTGTCTGGAATAAGTCCAGCCACTGTTAATATAACAAGAACAGTTTGTGTGACATCGATGTCACCTGGCAGCCAAGGCAAGTGGACTGGAATGTGCATGTGTGAACAGTAACAACCGCACCGTATTAGTCAGTGACCAGCGGTAGACACCATCGGGTGAGCATGTGCACCGTGTGACCGTTGCATTCAAAACGACTGAGCAAGTAGAGCAATGGATCTGCATCAGATTTTGCGTTCATGCAGCATGTCTCGTGCAGCATCCTTGGTGGAACATCAAATCACCCAGGTGACTCAGCCTCCCTACAGCTCAGATTTGACACCCTGCAACTTCTGGCTTTTCCTGAAACTAAAGTTTGAAAGGGAAGAGATTTCAGACCATCCTTGAGATTCAGGAAAATATGATGGGGTAGCTGATGGTGACTGGGAGAACTGCGTGAGGCCCCACGGTGCCTACTTTGAAGGGGACTGAGGCCTCATTGTCCCGTGTACAATGTTTTTTGTATTTTGTATCTTCTTCAATGAATGTCTTTATTTTTCATATTACATGGCTAGTTACCTTCTGGACAGATCTTGCATAACAAATTAATTGCACATCAAGTCTTAGTCAAAATGCAATGAACTGGTGTTCATTAGAATAAGCTTCTGTTTGCCAGATTTTGTAGTTAAATATTTGTTCTTACTAGTTTTCTCCTGGGGAGAAGACACAAAGGGATTGTCAGTTGTGTTCCAGAAAGGTCTTTGCCCAGAGGGAGTACTCCATACATCAGCCATCTGTGTATGGGAAAGGTCATAGGTGTAGAATGTATGGAAGGTGGAGTTTTTCTCTTTCTTATTTTGATTCCTTCAAAAGGCCTTGAATTCTGCCCCAAAGGTTGATCCTCATCCTCCCCTCCCCCCCCATGCTTCTCAGTCTCTCTCTCACAACCAGCTTGCTGCCTGACCAGTCACAGAACCTAGAATTTGGGGAAACCACCTTTGGACTCCAAATTCCTGAATTTCTTTTATATTTTTGTTCTTTAAAGATGACGTTTGGTTAAGTTGTGGTTAGTTGGATTTTCCTCCTGTCCTGTTGGTTCACATTGAATTTAGCTTTTAAATGGGTTTAATTTTAGTAACCTGTAGAATTTTTCAGTAACTATGGTACTATGATGATCATTGTGGTTCCAGATGGTCTTTGGATAAACAGGAGCCTGCCTCTGAATCAGATGATCCATGTCAGGAGGACGTTCTTTCAGCTGTGGGAGATCCTTTGTCTAAAAACCAACATTCCAACTTAGCCACCTGAGTTTAATAGGCAGCCAAACTTGTCCTTTTTTTAATTTGGAGGGTCTGTCATGCTTGAAAATGCTCCATGTCACACGCATACAACTGAGAACAGTGTTTGCTGCGAGGCTAGCCATGTGACCCCAAAAAAGACTCTCTCACAGTGCTGAGTGTCCAAGATATGAGACATAGGCTCAAAGTTGCAGAAGGAAGCTTTAATTATTATGCTTAAATACACCCAGAGAACAAGCCACATTGCCGATGCCCCCCTACCTTGGTAAACATGGGCTTCCCATGCTGGGTGACCATGGCACACTGGTCGCAGTCCACCGTGATGGATGAGTTGTGGTAGGACTCTTTTGAGTGTTTGAGAATGTAATACAGGTCGGTCACCCCTCCTTCAAACACAGTGCTAAAGTAGCGGGGGATGAGGGTCCTGCCGATAGCTGGGGGAGAAAGACAGACAAAGGAAAATTAATGAAAACATCCGCCCGGTCCCACGCATCCCACACCATCCCCAGATCTGAGACTGGACACAAGTTATCTTAGGAGATGATACCAGGAGGCAAATTTCTCTTTATCAACAGCCATGACCCTCTGCATTGTAGTTAACAAAATAAAGTTCCCAACTATTCAGAAAAAAATTTGTACAGTCATCTCTCCTGAGGGTTAGTATGTTTTTTTTTAAAGAATGGAGACAACGCACTGACTACTTTGGATCTTCTATATGTTCTCTAAGTGAACATATTTTGAAAAAATAAAACACATCCAATCCACTTGGATTTTTAAATAGATTGCTACCAGGCCAATTACTCCATCATGCTTTAATAGTATTACTCAAGATAATGTACATTTTAATAATGTGGTCCTCTGCAGGGTGGGAAGTATTTTAGCCTTCTCTCATTAGATCGTCAGAACAACCCCTAGAGCATAGGGGTCTGAGACCCAAAAACGTTATTATGAAAAAACCAAAAAGGTTATTAGGAGTGTTTCAAAGTCACATAACATATGAATAGAACATTGGGCTTTCTAACTCCAAATCTGCAAATACCCAAACACTCAGTCTTTCTAACACCGTGTCTCGAACTACTTTAATGAACGAACATCCTACCACATGAGCCAGAGCTGCCTATACAAAGAGAGCCACACCACTGTGAATACTGCTTATCCATTCCAGCTGCTTCTGGAGTTGGATAGGGTATCTTTCCAGAACAAAAGGCCCGTTTAAAAAGAATTTGGTGCCTTGCACTTGGTCCAAATTGGCCTCCTTTATGTCATGTGTTCTGTTCTGCCCCATTTCAGTTTGAGGGACTGGTAAGTAGCTAGGTCCCTGATATGACGATGCTCAGAAATAGCTAACCAGCCCTTGCTTTTAGGAGAGATTTTAAATCCTCTTACACTGAAAATACCAACTCATAATATCAGGAATTTTGCCTGTGTGCAGGTTTTGAGGCGAAGTGCTAAAGCACTCTCAAGAGATCCAAGGTTTTTAATAAATCTCCTACATTCACTATGTAGGGCCCCCTGAAAGACAAAAATAATATTTAAATTAAACAAATCACCAAAGAGAGCTTTAGTAGGAAAGATCATGAAATCTTCACTTGAATGTTTTAAAATATTTAACTTCATTTTAAAAGAATCAGCTTTAATCTACTCCATATGGATCCAGATCTCTTTTGTACATGGATTAGGAAAAAACAGCTATAAAAATAATACTGTGCCCAGCAGTTTTCTGAAATGATCTCTAAAGAATCCTGACATCCATGACTAGTCTGTGAATAATTTATGCAGTTGTTATTACTTCATATTTACTGCAGTTAAAATCAACCAACAAGTGTGTTCTACAGACTCCAGTATCTTTGGCAATTCCATCCTAAATAATCCTTAAACATAAATTTCCTAAATCCCACCTCTTCCTCAGTAGCACATGTTCATTCACTGAATATAAAATTCAAATGGGAGTAATTTGAGTCCATCGTACCCTAAAATGTATGCTTATATTATAAAGAAAACTTTGTTAATGTGAAAAATCTTATTCTACCTCGCTAAACAGATAACATTAATTTAATGCATTTCAAATATTCTAACTTTACCACAAAAATGCCGTAGCACTTGGACATTTTGGGATCTGTTCTGTGGAGAATAAATAAAAACCATGCGAAGGGTGAAAATATTTCCCGACTATATCCAAGAAATTGTCACAGTAAAAAAGGTTACTGCAATAAACACCACAGCACTGGACACGTTACAGTTCATCCCTCATGAATCCTGCACAATTTAGTTCCTTTGCATCAGTATTTGCTATATAGTACCACCATTTCCCTTCATGGCGTAAGAGACATTGATTGAGAAAAAGGTTGAGACTCCTTAACCTTAGACCTAAATTTTTAGGTTTAATTAGCTCTCCAACTCTAGAAGATGTACGAACTACATGTATGGTAAATATACTTAGAGGGAAAGGCAGCGAGCATAGCTTCAGGGGACACTTTCCAGCTCTCCAGGAAATGGTTGTTATGGAGCAACCAACTGTCCAAACAGTTGGACCAACCCCACTGTTTTCCCCATGGTGCTGTTTGGACCATCACTCCCAAAGCTCCATTTTCACGGTGGGGACTGCTCCTCTGGGGGCTCCAATGAACCGTGACAACGGTCGCCATGCTCTTGTGTATGCAGCCTCCTCTCCTCAAATATGGGCTGGGTCCTGAGACCCTCTTCAATCAGTAGAATGTGGCACAAGGGACCTTGCATCAGTTTGCAGCAAAACCTTAAAAAAGACTAGAAGCTTCCACTTTGTGCTTGGGACAAGTCAGTTGCAGTGCACGAAGTTCAGCTGCTCAAAGACTGCCAGAGTGCAAGAAGCTCAACCGGGCTGTGTGGAGCAGTGACAGGAGATGGGACAGAGAACTGCGTCTCCCAGCCAACGGCCCAGCTGAGCTTCCAGCCAACAGCCAGCACCAACTCGTTTATTACGTGAGTGAGGCCATCTCGGAAGTGGATCCTTGAGCTGCAACTGTGCTGCCTGAAGCTGATGTCACTTGGAGCAGAGTTGAGCTGTCTCCCATGTGCTTTGCCCAAATTGCAGAATCATGAGTAAATAAAAGCAATGCTTGTATTTTAAGCCAACACACTTGGAGCATTTTTTAACATATCAGTAAATAACCATAGCTCCCTTTCAAGCCCCTAGGCCACAAAGATGGGCAAATTAGTATTTTTCCCTGAAAGAAAGAGGGCAGTTTTGCCACTGAGAACACACAAATCATAGAAATACAGACGCTTGTCTCCAGAGGAAAGCAGATCAGAGAGACCGAGTCTTTGTGGGTTATTTGGGTCTTCATCTCAGTTGGGACTGAAACCACCATTAATCCTCAGTGGTCCCATTTTTTGAGATGTGCCTCCCCTCGACTTGGAAAATTAAGAAAAAATTTTGTTTGAGTGAGTTGTTATTAGCTTTCTGTTCTTTGCAAACATAGGAATCCTGATTAATGTCACCCTGTTCCAGCATGGAGTGGGGTAGCGAACACGGAGGTAAAATAAAGTGAAGAGCATGAGAATCTGCAAAGATATGAGTCTCCCTTTGTGTCCGAAGCCGGAAGGGATCAGAAGGTGTGCCAGGGGCTGTGTGAGTTTTCTACTGCCATTGTACCGAAGGACCACAAACTTAGTTACACAAACTCTATTTATGCATTAACTGTCTTACACAGTTCTGACAATCGGGCATGGGCCTTGCTGGGCTAAAAGGTGTCATCCAGGCTGCCTTGCTTTCTAGAGGCTGCAGGGGAGAGTCGGTTTTCTTGCTGTTCGCAGCATCCAGAGGCTGCCAGCGCACCTGGGCTGTGGCCCTTTCCTGCATCCTCACAGGCAGCAATGGTGATGGAATCCCCTTAGGACACCCCTCTCACTCCCTCTGCATTCTCCCTCTTTCATTTTAAGGAACTTCGTGATTGCCTGGGACCCACCCAAATAATCCAGGATCATCTTCTGTCAAAAAGCCCTTAGCCTAGTCAAGTCTACAGAGCTCCTTTTGCTACTTAAAGTAACATATTCACAGGTTCCAGGGATTAGCATCAGACATCTCTGTGGGGTGGGGAGTGGGATGGGGAGGAAAACTGTTGTGCCTTCCACAGAGAATATGCTTGCTAAAGAGCTTCTGTTCTGCAAGGGAGAACAGTAAAAATCACACACACACACACACACACACACACACACACACACACACCCAATATACAGATAACATTCAGCGAATGGGACAACCAGAAAAAAATCACACGTGCTTGAGGAAGTCACCCTGCAGCTCATTCACTGATTTCTTCCGTGACCATTCCCAGAACTCAGAGTAGAGCAGAGCACCACGGCAGGTGCTGGGCCCACAAAGGCAGGTTTTCGCCCCTACCTTTCAGACACATTTCCGACAAGAGAGTTAACCAGTATCTAAGCATCTACAACACAGTGTGATGATAAAGTTAGAGGACAAATTTGTGATTTTGAACTCTTTGCCAGTTTCTTCTGACTCATGAAATCAACATACTGCTGTATTCTTTTTGAAGCACTGAGATTAAAATATCCTTTTAATTTTGTAAAATCGTGTAACCACACTGCACAGCCTAATGTAAACGACTTTAAAATCGACGAACATTCCAGATTTAGCTCTGGTGATCCCCTAAAACTCACTAAGTCTGAATCCATTTAAGTGTTATATTGTCACATTCATATGCTAGACTTCCACGTGGCATTAATACTTTAATCCTTGGAATTAAAATTAATTTAAATATCTATATACATAAATCTACATTGTGTTCCATGCAGAGAATTACACTGTATGAATATCCCTGAAGAGATGAAAACTAGAGCAGATTAAAACAGAGATTCCACCTTTCGAACACATTTAGGGCAAAGCGCCACAGGCTGGAAGAGGGAGTCAGGTGGGGAAGACAGCCCAGGAAAATTTTCTGTGATGCTAGGTGAGTAGAAGGTAGTCTGCATTACTTATCTATGTATTTATGAAAGAGAAAAGGAAATCACAGCTTCAATTATTCAGACACCTGACATGTGTATAAAGAGTCTCTAAATAATACCCTACTTGGAGGTGAACATTAGTCCAGAAGTAGCTAAACATTTGTCTGTAGCTAATCTGGGTATTGAGCTCTGAGCTGTAGCTCCTTGGGAAGGTTTCCTTTTGTCTGATTTGCTCCAAACCTCTGACCTCCACTCTGCAAAGGTCTTGCTGTTGGAGTCGGCAGGCTGATGGTGCCATGGAAGCGAGGTCTCGCTTCCATCTTTCCTTGCAGGTGTTACTTGTGGATGTTTGGATAAGTATACCATACTTATACATATTGGCTGGTTTTTCCCCAGTAGAAAATAGATGGCGCACATTAGGAACTCTTAATCATTGAGGAAATATCAGCCACTGTGCATTTATCTTTTAGGGTAGCTCATCTCACTTCATCTT